TCGCCCATAAAAATTCTATTACACAAGTTTTCACATTCTTTTGAAAATTTTCGAAACGGCAGCTTTTTCCACATTGACACCATATCTTTCAAGTTCCTACCGTAATCCTACAGTAATGAAGAGAGATGGGTGATTTGCTCCATACTGCAAATCTAAGTTGAAGCCAGCTTTACAAAACGGTACCTGAAGCAAGGCAAAAGAGTTATTGGGAAGAGAGATATTAACGATCAAACAGTGCATACATACTTTTGTGACACCCTGTATTATATGATTGTCGAAAATTCAAAATTATCTATTACTGAATATTATGCGATGATCGAATGTTCGAAATTTTCGATTTTCGAGTAATATTCGATAATCAAATATCCAAAATGTTCGATTTTCGAATCATACGAAACGAGTACTCAGAAATTTTGATTTTTGAATATTATCCGATATTCGAGTATTCGAAAAAAATTTGCGACTTTCCGCATGTAAACTGCCTACTGATAATTCAGAAACTATCGATAATGTATAAGAATGACGGCCAATGAATAGGTAGTAGTGCAGATAGCGCGAAGGGACGGTTGCAAGATGTTGTGCTAGAGGTTTAAGGTTTTCCTTAGAGAATTTTGCCAGAGTGGACACGCGCTTGTAATTTATAATCTGATATAATCGGAAAAGTGTAATGCAGTGAGAACCTACCGTTATTCATGTAACAATTGATTTCCTTCTAAGTCAGAAAAGCACAAATTTGTGCTGAAAATTGGTAATTTTCTTGCAAGATTCAACAGCATCCAACTGATTTTAACGATTTATATGTACACTCTTCTCCTGGTAGGTTCTCACTGCATTACACTTTTCCGATTATATCAGATTATAAATTACAAGCGCGTGTCCACTCTGGCAAAATTCTCTAAGGAAAACCTTAAACCTCTAGCACAACATCTTGCAACCGTCCCTTCGCGAATGGCAGGAAAAGAGAATATTCGCTAAACCGCATCAATTGTAGGAATGTACTTAAATAGGGCATGCAAAAACGTATTCAATAATGCATTTTGACAAAACTCAAACCGTTCAGGGATAATATAAGAGGCATAGTTGATGTTCGAATGGGAAAGAACACATTTTGCATTTGAAAGCAAATCGCAGAATTTTAGAGCGAAAATTAGTTGCATGGTGTCTTACCGAGAGCATGCGGACCAGCTGTTGATAACCCTTTTGATTGCATCTAAAGGTAGGCGAACAGCATTTTCAACGCATACGACGCTAATCATGTGCCGAGCACCATGATTTCTCGTCGTCTCTATGCAAGACAATTTTCTCAAGTGTATGCATGACAGACTCGCTGAACGCTTGTCGCGCCACGCGCGTCGCCGCGTCGTTACGCCGGTCTATACCTCGGTCATGTCGTTCATCATTATTATAGGGCGCCCCGCGAAAAGGCATGAGAGAGCATAAGCCGCGCTCTCAGCGCACCGTCACGATTAAGGGGGTTTACTACAGGCTCTTCTCTCCTTTTGTTAAAACCACGATTAACACGACCGGATCACAAGTAAGAAAGTCGCTTCAGTTGAGCATTGCGTGCAGCTGGCGCAAAAAAGCTGCAAGCCGCAAAAAAGCTGCAAGTGTGCAGTTCTGCGTCAACTTCCGGCATATCCGACAGCGACATACTGTATAATAGGTCCATTCTTGCGATTTCCTTTGGCATCTCTGTTTGAATACAACGGTACTCGAAACTTGTGTGAATATATTAGATTGGCACATAAGTAATGCAAGTTTTCATATAACTTCTGTTTTATTGAACGTAGCGCATTCATTTCTTTGGCAATATACGGTACGGATTATGATGTAAACTTCGAGCGCAGACGTTTCTGCCGAAATTTGCCATCTCATGTAAAAATTACGGTAGGTTTACGGTATGATGGAAAAATTTTTGGATTGCGTCAGGTTCCCCTGAAACCAGGGCCCGGCACGAGGTCAGCAAATGACAAGCTGGAAATCGTTCTGGGGCCAAAAAGCAAAGGGGAAATCGTTTTTGCGGGGTCCGGGGCAGAGCCCCGGAAAAAAATTGGTAGTTCATGCTCGCTACTTATCTTGACATGTTATGTGCCTTAACAGGCGAACACTGGAGTTCGCGCGCGTCAAACCGCGCCGTCGCTAAGTGCCGCACGCGCGACGTCGCCCAAGCGATGCTATTTGTAACTGCATACATGACTAGTTCTCAATGTGTGTGTAACGATATGGCACCAAAGTTTGTGTGCGAACGGACAGAGGCTAGTGGAAACATAGTATGAAAAATTATGAAAAACTTATGTGAACGGAACGAGTAATTAGCATTTTTTCCGAGAATTTCGCAAAACTAATAAATGAAAATGTGAATTTAAACGGCTCGTTTGGAAAGTGCAGATGAACGATATGGTATGAAACCTGGTAAGTACATGCACACGGGCTTGCAGGACTTAACTGAGGAGTTTCATTGAGAAATTATGTGACTGAAGGTTGTGGCAAACTTTTTTCTGGAAATTTTGCGCTACCAAAGAAATGGAAAAATGGCTCGTTTGCAATGCAGAGGTAACGAAATCGCGCGGGCTTCGGTGTGTATATGCGCAATAGGACTAAGTAATAAAGTATGAAATATTATGAAAAACTTATGTGAATGAAGAGTTTCCTTTACTTATTTCCAAATTAGGTCGGCATTTGCCGACCTAATTCCCACCTGAGGTCGGCAAAACTCTCAATTCACATAATTTTCTCAAAATTTTTACATAAATCTGTTGTACACCTAAAGTTCACTACATGGTGAAATTTTGGTTCCGAAACTCCTCCTCTTGTACTTGTTGGAGCCCAAAATGGCATCAGCAGCCCAGCTTTCTAAGATAGAAAGCCCAGTCAATCGATACGCGCGGGAACGGCGTCTCTCATTCCTATGACTGTGTTTCTTTGATATTTTCTCATTCCCTAATCCTTTTTACTGCTTATTTTTCTTCCTGTTTCCTATCTTGGTACAGCAATTTGAGTAATATGACGAATTTGAGCAATTTGGGCGCTTTTGAGCGCTTTTAGGCGAAGTGTGGCCGGTAATCTCGTCGCACAAGCACAAAACGTCATTTTTGGGCTCAAGGGAGTATTCGTAAAACTTACTGGGATCAAAGGGGTATTCGTTTTGGAAAACCCCGTTTGCCCACCTTGTGCCGGGCCCTGCCTGAAACTTGGCCTCTGGGGGTTATCCGACATGCTGATTACGAAAAAATAAGAACCGTTTCGCAGGAAAAGGCCTCTTTGGTAACGTTAACAAATAGATTTTTATCTTAACATTAGTGAAAAATGAATATGATTCGTGTTCACCATATAGGATTACCCTGTTGTGCAAAGTTTACCGAATTCTGATTTTTCGCGCTTAGTTCGCATTTCACTTGTTCATTTTCTCAAAGAAACCCTATCTTGAGTTCCCTTTGAACTTCTGTTTTTTTTATACTGATCCTGATGTTGTCAACTTCTAGCTACATGCTGCCCATAATTGCTTTTTGATGTATTTGATTCACGTTTTGTGCGGCTTCATGTTTGCCAAAAAATTCGATTTTCAGCAGATTTCGAAAAATGCCCAAGTTTTTCCTACTACGTTATTGAAAACTGAACGGTTTGCGCAGACTTGTAGCTCACATCACAACACGATGCCAAAGAATGAGAAGCTGCATAGGATACGAAAGGAAGGTATTTTCCTTTATCGACCCATTTTTTCAAAAGGCTCTCATATAATACGTTCTTTAGTCTAAGTATATTTTTTTTTAAAAATCGACGAGGACTGCCTCTCCTTGCCACGTGTCGCTAAAAAATTAGCACGTTTTGGTGCATTCTGACTTCTTTTTTCCAAGTCATTTCCGGTTAGATAAAAGAGAAATTGTGATCACTTAAAAGCTGTTTAACTGTTTTTGTGAGATTAAAACAATCTTGAACTTATTTTGGGACACCTTGATTGCTTTTAGCAGTGATTTAAGAATGTATTTCTCTCCAAACCCTTTTCGCAGTCCGTGCGAATTTAACCAAAGACTACAAACAATGGCTTGAAGAAGAACCTTCCTGCCGTTTATTTTGCCTCTTGAATTACGGAATCCTAGCGCGCTTCTGTATTCCAAGCAAGTCTAATATGTTCGAGAGAATAGTATGCTGTCATTATTAAATGTTCACTTGAAAGTGATCAATCGAAATGAGGTCAAAAATGACTAGGAAACAGATTGAGCTTACGTTTCTGATTAGGATAAAATAAACTCTTGGTGAAACCTGTTAAACCTGTAGATGGCATGTCAAGTGTTATTGACACGCGGCAGAATGGTAAGGTTGGGACCAAATATGGTACAGGGATGGAAGCAATGTCCCTCTTCGAAAAAATGGGTACGGATAACGGAAAAGTACCGCAAAAATGGAATTGCAAAACTTATGTGCCAACCTAATAAATGTTACTTCTTTTCGTTTGAGCCCTGCACTTTATAGTCAACAGCCTGAGAAATGTCCACACTTACAAAAAATTTTCCAGTTACAAGTGTCAAGTTTATAATATGATGCTTGCGAAATACGTCAAAGTCATGCGGTTCGTACGATTTTAGCAAATTCCGACCTAGAAAAAGTTTTCAAAGCAATCACTTTACATCTTGTGATATGGCAACACTTACGCTCACTACGCAAGTGTCACAGTGTTTGTCAGTAGAATGTGAAGCTATTTCTGAGACTGGTCTATGAAAGCGCAGAATATAAATGAGTTGCATCAAGTGAATTTAAATTGCATCGAAAGCCGCTAGGTCGGAAGGAGTCAAATTTGTTGATCAGCTTTTGGTGCATGCTATCACAGTCGAAATAAGAAAAAGCAACGCATTTCCCGCACACTATGCATTTTCGGGTCGCTTTTTGGCCAGAATCGTAAAAACTTAATTTCTGCTTCTTTCAGAACAGTTTTATATATGTGGGGGTAGCAGGGATAGGTTTGATCCCCCCCCTTCATATGCCACTGGTTTGATGTAATCGGTATGTTAACTGTTCTATCGCAGTTCGATAAAGGAGAGCTCCTTTTGGACAAAAAATCTTACCTGGATAGAGAAGAAAACGAAACTAATATTGAGTTGCTGAAGGAGCTTCTTACTAATCAGGTAATATTTTTTCCAGCACTCAAACTTGTAGACGTTCTCATCAAGATTTAGATTGAGCTATTCAAAGAGGATGGTGGACTGCCTAGCGATATAACAAAGACTGAGAAAGATGTAGACGAAATCATCGATCTAGAGATGAAAATGGTGAAAATTATGGACGCAGACGTTAATACCGACCCGCAAGTTTATCATTTGAGGGACATGCGAAAACTCATGCCGCTAGTGAGTATGCGAGAAAAAACTGGCACGTTATGTATACTCTTCTTAGGTTGACTGGTCTCAATTCTTCAGTGCTGTCGCTCCCTTTGATTCCCAAAACTACCTTTTTTCGGATCCAGAAATACTTGTAGTCGATCCTGACTATCTAAACAGGTAGGACCATTTTCGATCGCCGTTACCCTGTTCATACAACAATAGGCTGTAAAGGATGTGAATTTAGAGTAAATGAACTCTTGCAATCAACGGATTCACGTATAATCACAAACTATGTCTTTATGCTATTTTCTCGGAAGTGGTCGGGAGAAATGGGAGAAAAGTATGAAGATGTTGAACAGGTAAACAAGTATCGTCAACATTCTCTGAAACTCTTCTTAGGCGCAGTTCAGATCAACGTTTCTTAACACGAATGTGTTTCAAATGCAGAATTCGATTATAGGAATACAATGAAATGATGTACGGGCAACAACGAAAAACACAACGATGGCAGTTCTGCACCAGCACCGCCATAAAGAAAATGAGTTACGCTACCGCAGCTTTATACGTGAAGAAAGCATTGCACAAGGTACCAAAAACGGTATCAGGATTCTTTACTTACTGTTGTAATTTAGACTACAAAGAAGGATACACTGGAAATTGCCAATGCACTGAAGAAAGAATTTCGCAAGATCCTCAACACCAGCGAGTGGATTGACGATGATACTAGAAATGTAAGCTAACAGACTGAAACAGTAAGCGACCGAACACCGTACATGCAGAACGCACTGAATAAGCTGGATCACATGATTCGTCAGATAGCTTACCCCGGATTTATTCTAGATGAAAAAAGACTCGACAAGTACTACAGCAATGTGAGTAATCATTCACCACTGACTAATTGCAAGTTCGTACATGCTAATTCAGTTGGATGTGCGTTGCAACGATACATTCAGTGAAATGGTGGAAAAAGTGACTCAATGGCAAACCGAGCGCTTTTTCGAACAACTACGGGAGGTTCAAGATCGTTTTGTAATATTTAACTCGGCCCATGTTACTGCATCGTACACTCAAGGAACAAACTCTCTGCGTAAGCTCACTGCTCTTACGCTTCGCTCCTTCATAAGTGCCCGTGGCTGTTTTTAGCTGGAGAAGTTGATATTTTCAGAGATTAGCGCTGCCATTCTCCAACCTCCCTATTTCCACCACACGTTCCCAAGGTCGGTTTTTACTTAAAATATTAGGCTGAAAACTAAGTTTTTCAACTGGTCTCATAACTTCCCTCTCACTGAACGGGCGCACTCAAATTTTGGCATTATGTAAAGACTAATGTGTGCTACAAGAACGCGCAAACCGTTTGAATTTTGAACGCGAAATGGAAAATTTTCAGGCATTTTTCGAAAACTAGTAAAATTTGAGAATTTTTGGGGTTTCAAGATAGAATGAAGCCTTTAGCAGCCTAGACCATGCGCAGTAATCCGGATTCGTCTAAGAATTATTGCTGGAGCTCGGCTCCTTTGGCCCAACAAGAAAGAAGTAAAATTTAGGGGCATGTCGAGATTGGTGTCCTCACAAAGTCGAACGAGTCGATGTACGCAAGAGCTGCTAGGACGACCGTCAGTGACTAAAGAGTCGGAAGCTCAAATTCCGCCGAGACTTTACACAGTAAGGTTATTTGACCTGCCGAACGCGAATATCATATTTATTTGTTGAATCAATGCTTTTTTCCTTGTTCGAGGTGAGAACCCATATCGTACACCTACAGTATTCCTACAAAAAACCCTTATCACATAATTTTACTATCGTTTTCGCTATCAGCATGTCGGATAATACACCTATGACAAGTTTCAGCCAAATCCGTCAAACTTTGAATTTTTCCCCTTCATACATACACCTACCGTAATCCTCACTGCGACGTCAGAATTTGGTAGACCAGCAGCTGCGCTTGTAGCTTACGTAATAATCAACACAGTGGCAAATTTTGAGTGCGCCATGTTGAGTGGGAGGGAATTTATGAGAAAAGTTGCAAAACTTAGTTTCCAACCTAATAATTTACAGTTTTTGCCACAAGAAAAACTTTCATTTTCATTTTTTTTTAAAAATTCCCAACAAAAGCAGCCATTTTCAGCTAGCGAAAACAAAATAGAATAAATTATCAGTTCGTTTGTACAACTAGAGGTGCCATATTAGCGAACATATCATGTACTTGCTTACCTCCTGCAAAATTAGTAAGATAAAATGACTTAGCAGGTTCAACTACTCGGATGATTATCGGGATAGGCTGACACCGTAGAAATAAGTAAATTTTTGCGCTCCTCTAGCAGATTTGTGGAAGTCGGTCCACAGTTTTTGCGACGCCGCTTGTCAAATTCTCGCTTCGTCGAACTGCACGTGTGCGAAAAATCAAGGTGAAAAAAGGTCAACAGGCGGTTTAATGAATCTCGCTGAACTTTTCCAAAAATCTGCGAGCGAGTGCAAAAAGTTAGCAGCGCGGATCTTCCGGTACTTGCATACCCCCGGCAATTGTCTGTGCACTGCCATGACTTTTTGAGCATCTCAGCAGTAACGCCAAATATTTCCTGAATTTTGAATTTTTTGTTCTGGTTTTCCAAAGAGCGCTGGTAACTGTTATGTAGAGCAGACTTTTGGCTACATTGTAATCATTTTAGATTACGTGGGCCGCGTTTACCAAGTCCGTTATAATTATCTTATATATAAAGCTGAATGTCTGTTTGTCTGTATGTCTGTCTGTATGTGTGTACGTATGTTCCGAATAGAAAATTCCATTTCTGAACCGATCCGGAACAAACTTGGCACACATACACTTCGGCCCCGGCGGGTGTCATAGGCTACTTTTCGTCATCGATCGATATCGATTTTATCGATTTTTATCGATTTTTTTGCTGAGTTCACCTACGGGGCTGGGAGTTGGCACAGGGGGGTAATCGAGCATGGGGATTCCGAATACAATATTGGTTTTCAGGATTATCGATTACTTTTGTCGATTTTATCGATTTTTTTGCAAAGTCTGAGCTACGGGGCTGGGAGTTCGCACAGGGGGTAATCGAGCATGGGGATTCCGAATACAATATTGGTTTTCAGGATTATCGATTACTTTTATCGATTTTATAGATTTTTTTGCAAAGTTTGAGCTACGGGGCTGGGAGTTCGCACAGGGGGTAATCGAGCATGCTGATCACCCCCTTGGGGGTGATCAGCATCCTCGATTACACCACTGTGCCAAATTTCAGCCCCCTAGCTCAAATTTTCAAAAAATCGATAAAATCGATAAAAGTAATGGACGTTCTTGAAAACTAATATTGTATTCGTAATCTGCATGCTCGATTACCCCTCTGTGCAAACTCCCAGCCCCGCAGGTCAAACTTTACAAAAAATCGATAAAATCGATAAAAGTAATGGACGATCCTGAAAACTAATATTGTGTTCGTAATCAGCATGCTCGATTACCCCCCTGTGCAAAATCCCAGCCTCGCATGTCAAAATTTACAAAAAATCGATGAAATCAATAAAAGTAATCGATAATTCTGAAAACTAATATTGTATTCGGAATCCCCATGCTCACTCCCCCCCCTGTGCCAACTCCTAGCCCTGTAGGTGAACTCTGCAAAAAAATCGATAAAAATCGGTAAAATCGACATCGATCGATAAGGAAAAGTGGACTGTGACACCCGCCGGGGCCCGAAGTGTATGTGTGCCAAGTTTGGTCCGGATACGGCGGAGCCGGGTAAGCCAGCTAGTTTAATAAATAAAAACCGCGGCTTTTTGATTAAGTTTAACACGTAAAAGTACCAAAAATTCCAAAAGCTGCTTTATAAAGCGAATTAAAGTTGGTTATGTTGCATAAACAATGTTTAGTAAGAATCATGTTCCAATACGCAAAAAATTCAAAAGCTTTCGTGTATTTGATGCAGTTGCATGTTTCATGACTTTGCCAAAACTCGAGACCTCCGGAGAAATAAGTTTTTGAAGCTAAAAACAGCAGATTAGGAGAATCTAAAAGAGGTACCTTGTAGTCTGAGAGCTGCTCTATTTGATCCATACTTAACCCCTCTCGAAACTTTGGAATGAAATTTTTAAAAATTAGCCTAATTTTGAGCAGGTAAAATTGACGGGTGGAGAATTTTGGCAATTACCAAAAAAAGCATACAAAATTGTGGAATGAAAATGTAAGCATAAGAAAGAGAAGGTAATGCTGCATCGAATGCATGTTGAAATACGCTCAAGTCTTTATTGTGCGTGGTTTTACAGTGGTTTGAAACCGACAAAACCTTTGGAACAACCTATATAGATACATATTAGGTTGAACCGAAAGTTCGTTCGCACCATTTTCAAAAAATCATAACTTCTTTCTCTCACGATGATTTTGCGCAGCTTAAGTTTCATTAGAAAGCGTAAAGCATGTAGTTTCCAATAGTTCTCTGGCGATTTCCAGCATGTTCAGATTGCAGAGATAAAAATGAAAGGACGAAAACATCCGAAATTCGGAATTTTTGAGAAACAATTCCAAAAATCTAGAAACTGTGCGATAAAATCCAGAAAAGCCATTATCCTAATTTTTCTTATATTTGATTATTAACTGAGTCAAGTTTGTGCTGATCGAGCTCTTCTTTCAAAAGTTATGATTTCTTGAAAAAAATTCCGAAAAATCACTTTCCTAAGAATTCCTAAGAAATTGATTTTTCGGCATTATTTTTCAAAAAATCATAACTAATAAAAGAAGGGCTCGATCAGCAGAAACTTGACTCAAATAGTAATCAAATATAAGAAAAATTAGGATAATGGCTTTTCTGGATTTTATCGCGCAGTTTTTAGATTTTTGGAATTGCTTCTCAAAAATTCCGAATTTCGGATGTTTTCGTCCTTTCATTTTTATCTCTGCAATCTGAACATGCTGGAAAGCCTCCAGGGGACTGTTGAAAACTACATGCTTTACGCTTTCTAATAAAGTTTAAATTGCGCAAAATCGTCGTGACGGAGAGAAGTTATGACTTTTTGAAAATGGTGCGAACGAACTTTCGGTTCAACCTAATATATTAGGTCGTTCCGAAAGTAATGTCGCTTTTTTCAGACGTACGCCACATCTCGTGGAACAAAGATGTGTACGAGATTCTGGCAGCTTTTTATGCAGCATTTCATTCTCTTTTCAAAGGTTATATAAGCGCTGCACAAAATTCAATAACATTTCGAAAGATTATCAAAATCTGCGGCCCATGCGCTTTCAGAAAGCCAAGTTTCACAATTTTTCTAAATTTTTGTAACAAACCTCGGAAGAAGTCTAAGTAATGAATGGATAGAACAAGCCCAACAGAAAATAGCACTACTTTTTTTCTACTTTTCAGAGCTCGTAATAATTTTTGTATCGATTTTTCGATGAAACCGCCGAATTTTGGCAGGCTCGTCTTACAAGGAAAGGATACTTGGTGACCGTGGCCTTTTGAAATGGAACGTAAATCATCAAATGCAACTTGAAGCGCTAATTCCAAATCTGCTTTCGGTATCTGCTGTGCGCTTTTCCGAAAGAAGTTATGAACATTTCTTGCCACAAAAATTTGCACTGTTTTTGATCCAGGATTCACCAATATCGTTAGAATGTTCGCTTATGCACTATAAAAGAGCGTCAAAATGAAGTAAAGCTCCACGTTAAGCTCAGGAAAACCGTTGTTTCCGATATATCACAGCCTAAAAAGCCTGGATAGTGACGATTCTGACTGCCTAAATCTCACAAAATCTATATGAAAAAAGTCCATAATTTCGTTCAGAGACTCGCGCAGCAGATAATAAACATAGATTTGAAATCAGCATTTCAAGGCGCATCTACTGGTATGCATCTCATTGCAGAAAGCCACGGTCACCAAGTATCCCTCCCTCGTTAGACATAAATGCATCAAACACCAATATTTCTTCGGATTTTGAAACTTACAAAGATTGAATATGGTTTGTCACTAATTTTACAAACCGAATGAGCATTCAGCGATTTAGAAAAGCAACTTTTGAAAATTCCGGGTACAGATTGGGGCGCACTGGAAAACCTGAATTATGATAATTTTATTCTGGAAAACTTGATGAATTGGAAACAAAAAACAACTGTAAAAAGAGGAGAAAAAGCAGCGTCGAATGACACCTCA